AGCAACAATGAACCTACACCCTAGACAATCGGGTCGAAGTACCAGGCGACGGTGCTGGTGACCACTATACAGGTGGTTGATGTGCCCACACGACGGTGATGATAGCCTCCACACAGGCAGATCATTTGCCAATGCGGCGGTGTTGATGTATACCCACACAGATGGGTCGTGCTCCAATACGACGGAAGTAAGAACCTTACCACGGATGGATGATAAGCCAATACGGCGATGTAGTGTATACCGCAGTCGGTCTCAGATGCCGACGATGAGGTATATGACCATCACTGCCGACTGCTTAACCAGCCGAAATTAGACTGCGATGGGGTTACGACATGGTTGTGAAAGGTCTGAATGTAGCAGTGATACAAAATTAATTAGGATACATATTATTAGTGATTTTGGCCCTGTTCGCTTCGCTGAAAAAATAAGCCAAAATACTGTTTCAGTTGATTTGTTGTGAGAGAAAAATACTGTTCCAACTGAAAAACAAGATGAAAAAGACGGATTATAAGAGAAGCGAATAGGGCCTTTAATTTAATAGCAAATATGATGGTGTTGCAACAGAACAAAAACATACAGCCTGTTCGCTGGGTCCTATTTGGCTTATAAGCCATGGCTTATCAGCCAATGAACAGTATTTTCTCTCACACCAAATCAGCCAACAGTACTTTCAGCCATGGCTTATAAGCCAAAATAGCCCAAACAAACAGGACGATAAACTCTACTTCACGTTCCTGTCGTGTGGTTACCTCCATGCTTGGACCATTAGTCATTGGGGGTGTTCGGCTGGAGGAATTTGGATGGTTTAGAGGAATGCTGGAGGAATTTATGAGAAAAAAATACTATTCCGGATGAAAAAATAAACGAATTAAGCCGACCTGGTGTTGGCATTGTTGAAATCCTTCTTGCAGAGCTGTCGGTGTGTAGGACAGTAATGGCCCCTCTCTTCGCGAGCGCTGCTCCGTGACATCAACCGCGATGGGGAAATTGATGTCGTTGCGCCCTTGTCAAGGTACTCGTTGAGCAAGCAAGCAGAGATATATCCTTAGCAATAAGCCGAAAAAGTCTATGCAGAACCTGTCAAATTAAAGCATTGATCAGTGGGGGTATGTCATGGACTTGGGCTTCGCTATGTTCTCCAGGCCGCGGGCCTAGTATGGTTGTGGGCTTTGAGCCTCGTTGAGTTGTAAGGCTGGAGCGGCGGTCATATAAGCCGAATTTTTTACTTTTTAGCTCTTTTTTTAAGTTTCTCACAAATAGATTTTTGGAGGAAAGATTTTAGAATCTGGACCCTTAGCTCAGCGTCATCGATGCTGACGCCGAGCTAACACGTCAGGTCTTGGGCTCGACGCAGACGTGACGCTGACTTGGCAGGCAGCTCGGCGCCAGGGTGATTGGCGCCGAGCTCAGCGCCGTTGACGCTGGCGCCGAGCATGCAGTTCCAGGCCTCGAGCGCCGTGCACTCGTGCTGCCATTCACCACCGTGCAGCGTGGAGTGCAGATGCTGGTAGCCTGAAAAGGGTCACGTCGCCTAGCTACTGGCAATGCGTGCACGGTCAGGCATAGAGACTTGCCCGCGCTGCACGGCACCTAGAAATCACATCAGCTTTTTACTGTGTTAGGCCAAGCGCCGTCACTGGCTTTTTACTGGATGGATGGTAGAGGAGAAAAGAAAAGCACTTGCATCGACTCATTGGAAAAACACTGCAGCCACGCACTTCTCCCTCATCCTCTCCCATGCTTTTGATGTGACCACAGATGTGCCAACCCCCTGAGGCTGAGGACCACTGTGTGTGAAATCTTTCTTGTATACTATTCATGATGCCATCCCACGGCTTCGCAATGGATCGGTGAGAAATTGGTGATCTCTGGATTTCACAATCAACTAGCGAGTGAGAAATTGAACCGAAGTATGGCCGGTTTTCTTATTTGTGACTAGGTATGGCACACATGAAACGTAGCATTTATTTTCCTACATTGGAAAAATGTACGAAAAATTCCTATAATTCCCTTTGGAAAAAGAATGCTTCCCAACAATTCCTTTGAATTCCTATAATTCATTTAAAGAATTTTGGAGAAAACTAAACATGAGCTCTAATCTCATCGTTTTGTTTCCTATGTTTTTCCTACATTTTTTCAAAGGGCATCTTCCTAAACTTTACTTTCTTCTGAAATCTTGTAGGATTTAAAGTGTTACGACATTTCGTTCTTATGTTTTCCTATCCTTGTGTTTTGTAAATTCTTTGTTCCAAAGGGTCCTTTAAACTTGTGAATTCTTTCTGTCCCAAAATAAATTAACTTTTAGAGTTGTCCTAAGTCAAACTAATTGAATTTTGACAAACTTTATAAAGAAAGTACCAACATCTATGATACCAAATAAGTAAATTATGAAAACATATTTCATCATGTATCTAATGATATCATTTTTTTGTCATAAAAATGGTCTTCTTTTCTACAAAACCAGTCAAACATAATATGGTTAAATTTTGGATAACTCTAGAAGTTAATTTATTTTAGGATGAGGGGAGTATGTTTTGTTTTCTAAAAATACTTGGTCACAATTGTTGTACCATGATTTAGGACAAAGGTAAAGTTAACTAAAACAAACACATGGAGCGGGAATTAAATAAGAGGAATGAATATAGCTAGTTTAGCTAGAATGTGACTTTGCACCTTAACTATTGTGTCATTTATTGACATGTGGACAGTAAATAAAAAGACTATAAAGGATTAGGAACTGAAAAACTATTTTGAATCTAGAAATGGCATGGTATAGTAATAGTATAACCACAAGATTTACCATGTATTGCCTATGTTCCGCAAATAGTAACGTTTAAGTTTTTTCCTAAGTCAAAGTTTGATGTTTAACCAAGTGTAAAGAGAAGATTGTCAATATTTGTAACAACAAATAAGATTTTCTATGAAAATATATCCAGCGATGAAACTACTGATATTTATTTGGTATTATTCAAATCTGTGTTTTTCTGTATAAATTTAGTTAAAGTTTAAGATTGTTTGACTAAAACTAGAATGACACTTTTTTCAGGATGGACGTGGTATATAAAGAGAAGTTCGAAGAATCATTTCAGGGTGCCTGTGAATAAAATAAGAGTGTACTACCATTTGATTTTTTTTAAGTGCTACGTTTCATAAGTTGCTGGAAGATAACTTGTTCAAGCACGTCATAGGGAGAAGTGCGTGGCCATAGTGTTTTTCCAATGAGTCGACGCAAGTGCTTTTCTTTTCTCCTCTGCCATCCATCCAGTAAAAAGCCAGTGACAGAGCTTGGCCTAACACAGTAAAAAGCTGATGTGATTTCCAGGTGCCGTGCAGCACGGGCAAGTCTTCATGTCTGGCCGTGCATGCATTGCCAGTAGCTAGGCGACGTGACCCTTTTCAGGCTACCAGCATCTGCACTCCACGCTGCACGATGGTGAATGGCAGCACGAGTGCACGACGCTCGAGGCCTGGAACTGCATGCTCGGCGCCAGCGTCAACGGCGCCGAGCTCGGCACCAGGGTGACTGGCGCCGAGCTGCCTGCTAAGTCAGCGTCACGTCTGCGTCGAGCCCAGGCGCCGAGACGTGTTAGCTAAGGGTTCAGATTCTGAAATCTTTCTTCCAGAAGTCTATTTGTAAGAAACTTTCAAAAAAATAGCTAAAAATTAAAAAATTCGGCCATATAAGCCGCTTCCCAGGTTCTGTAATGGGTATGAACCGACTCTGTAACGAACTCCCCAACTGAATAACCAAATCGTCCTCGCGGATTCAGCCGCGCTCCGTCCATTTCCCGTTCTTGTTCTTGCTGTTGTTCCTCATGCTATACCTCAGTTATCCTGGTTCGTTGCAGGGTACTGGATGCATGCAAATTAAAGCCGTAGGCCGGGAAGAACAGCGTGTGTGCTGCTTGCCTGCCTGTGCTGGGGCTGCATGCTAGCTAGCGGACGAGTTTTCAGGTGTCCGATAGAGTCACTTAAGATGTACACGTAGAATTGTAGATGTCGTGATGCCTGCGTCCGTTGTCCATCTTGTTGCATGCACCGTCGTCGGAGCGAGTGAGATGAGCAGCGCCACCAGGAACGTAACCAAGAAGATGCGAGCAATGAGTCATATTGTTTCTAAATAACAGTGATCCTCAAATAACTAGAGATATCCCCGAGACTCCGTGCTAATGGTGCCATATTATATATAATTGGGAAAATGGTGTTTTTGCCCCTTACACAGATGTGTAATTGTGATTTTGTCCTCATTTTTCTAACTTTGTGATTTTGCCCTTAACTGTTCACAAGTCAACACGATTTTGCCCCTGGTCAACGCGAATTTGCCCTGTTTTTACCGTTGACCAGGGGCAAAATCGCGTTGACTTGTGAACAGTTAAGGCAAAATCACAAAGTTAGAAAAACGAGGGCAAAATCACAATTGCACATCAAAGTAAGGGCAAGAATACAAGAGCCCCATATATAATTGACTATCATACCATAGCATTTGAACAACATATATATTATTACACACCATGTTTTCCTTTTTCTTTTCTTTTTTGAATTACATAGCACAAACGCAGAAACATATAGCACGCACACGAACACACTCACCATAGATGACAACACATATATATTATACACCATTACGAAACACACATATATACAAACACAGTTCCTATCAAGGAACAACAAACACAAATTATACGCTCATGACGGTACGGTACGGTACGGTAGAACATAAAGAGTTCACAAGCCAACAAAACTAGCACCACACTGGATCGGAGCATAGCCTATTCGGTTGGCTGGTTCGTATCGTTGCTGGTCCGTGAAGAAGTACTGCTGGCTGGTTTGTGTGAGACAAAAATACTGTTCTGGCTGAAAATTTACGATCGTTTACGACAAGCCACAGCCAAACAAACAGGCTGGCAACCTTAGGGAAATTAAATAGAAAGTGATCGAGCGCATGCAGTTGATCTCCTGGTGGTATGTTATTATTAACTCCAGAAAGGAGCAGAAGCCACTTAAAATGGCCCCATCGAATCCACAGCAGACTTGATGTCTGCAGCAACACTCTTTGCATCACGAGAAATACCAGCCAACCCTGCCATTCCCAGCCCAACACAGTAGAGGCCGTTTTCGCCTTTCCAAGGATCGGTGAGCTCCCTCTTGGGCATGCCATTGGCATTAAGCAAGCTCTCACCATTCTGCATTTTGTTAATCACAGAAACTTTTGTAAGAACATGATACCATCCATTTTCTAAAGAAATTTGATACATTTTGGTACTAGAATTCAACAGTACTCAAGTTTCTGGTTATATATTGTACTCCCACATGCCGTTTTCAGACGTTTTGGCTTTTCTAGATACATTTAAGGGCAAAATCACAAAGTTAGAAAAACAAGAGTAAAATCACAATTGCACATCTGTGTAAGGGGCAAGAACATCATTTTCCCTTTTTATTATGTATCTGGACATAATATATGTCTAAGTGCATAGCTGAAGCAACGTATCTAGTAAAGCCAAAACGCCTTATAATTTCGAATAGAGACATTAGAAAAGAAAAACTATGTAGCTAGCTTTCCTATAAGTGGTGGTGGAGGATTGTATATTTTATGCTTTTAGTAACTGACCCTCTTGTAAGTATACTGAATGAAAAGGTGAAATCATGCTAGATTCATCATATGCATTCATGGCAGATGTAGCCCATACATTCAATGCTTTTTTAAAATAACTACTACTCTTGGAGTATTGACAAAAAATTAAAGTAATTACTTTCCATGTCATGACAGCTAATATATGTGTCTATACCTTAAGCCACGTGTTTGCAGTGCTTTTGTATCCTGTAGCGAATACAAGAGAATCAAAGTCGCTCTTTTTTCCATCCTCAAATTCTACTGTGTTTCCTCTGATACAAGATATTGGGCCAAGCACCTGCGACACACATAAACCATGAAAATTTATTTATCAACTTCAAATAGTATATGATTTTTTTTTATTTTTTGGGCCTAGAGATGAGAATTCACGCGCTCACCTTGATACAGCCTGTTCGTTTGGCTGTGGCTTATCGTAAACGATCAGAACAATATTTTTCTCTCACACAAACCAGCCAACAGTACTTCTTCATGAACCAGCAACGAAACGAACCAGCCAACCGAACAGGCTGACCGGCCAGTCTTTGCCTTGAGAAGAAGCGGCCCCACATCGGGCCTGACTATGCCATATTTGGAGAGGTCACCAAATGGGATGTTTGCAAGAGTCAAAATAATGAAATCCACAAATTTCACAGGAAGGTGCCATCTGAGCAGCCTCATCCCCAAGTTAATCAGACCCTTGGTCATAACATGCACCTGTATGGATTCGGGTGGTGAAAATAAGAGCAGGGTTAATAAAAAGCATAGCATGATTTGTATTAATTACAACTAGCATGAGAAAACAATAATCAACATAACTGGAAGGAATTTATGTACTAGCTAGAATCATACTGGGCTACGGATAACCAAGGAGGTCTCCACTCCATTGGAGGCAAGATCATAAGCAATCTCCATGCCTGAGTTTCCACATCCAACCACTAGGACACCCTTTCCGGCGTAGTTGTTCCATGACTTGTAGTTTGACGAGTGTATGACATCACCAGGGAAATCATGTAGCCCAGGGATGGTTGGAATGATTCCTTCACTGTTCTCGCCTGTGGCTACAACTGAGAACCTAGCTGTATACTCAGTCACTTGGCCATTTGCCAGGTCACGTGCTATGACATCCCAACAGTTGCTCACTTCGTCATACTCGCAGGACTCAACAGAAGTGCTATACTTGGGGAAAATATTGAAGTGGTCGACATACTCATCAGCATACCTCACAAACTGTTCCTTGGTGATGTATTTAGGAGTATCACTTGGATGTGACATGTGAGGGAGCTCGCAGAACTCCTTGGCAAGATGCAGTTGAAGACTGTTGGCCCACAGGATCACCGGCTCAGGTGAGTGAACCACTCACCGGTCTTGTCGAGCACCCGCTAGTGTTGTCGAGCACCTACTAGCCGTGCCAACCACGAATAAGCGTTGTCCGTCCCCACACACTATGGCTAGAGCATGAAGAAGAAGGAAGAACAGAGCATACACACACAGTACAAGAATCAGCGCTGGCCGAAGCCCTGTATGTGAGATAACAAATCTGAACTCTCTTTACTGAGTTACCGTGTATGTCTATTTATACAACTCTATCCATCTAGTCCTATTACAGCGCACATGCTGCAACAGTAACTAGATAACACAGCAAAACCGACTCTGCGCTGGCCTCTGCATGTGGCTACAGTGCTGCAAGTGAGGCGTTTGGCGCCTACACCTGCAGTGGCTATAGTATCACATCAAGGGGACCTTTCGGCGCCGCCTTTCCTTGTTGTGTTCACACAAGGTAGCAGTAGATTATCTAACAATCTTTCCCTAATCCTACTGCTAACCCTTGTACCATCTCCATACCGATCATCTCCTTCAGCTCCGTGAGTCCAAGACGTCCGAGCGGCTTGGTGAGGATGTCCGCGAGTTGCCGACCAGTTTCGACGAACTCGATGACGATCTGCCCTCCATAGACACAGTCCCTGAGGAAGTGGAATTTCACGTCGATGTGTTTGCTCCGGTCGTGCAGAACTGGATTCTTCGCGAGGGCGATGGCGGGCTGGTTGTCCACCATTAGTGCTGGTGGGTGAGCTTCCACGCCGGTTAGCTCGCCCAACAGCCGACGTAGCCACACAACTTGGCACGCCGCTGTGGCCGCTACTACGTACTCTACCTCGCACGTAGATAATGCCACCACCTTCTGTTTCAGCGACAACCATGAAATTGGAGCCGACCCGAGGAAGATGAGCACATCAGAGGTGCTCCGTCGTCCGTCGATGTCCCCCGCCATGTCTGCATCGCTAAACATAGTGAGCCGTAGCCTACTCCCTCCGGTCTTGGGAAAGATGATCCCTTGATCTACCGTCCCCTTGACGTAGCGTAGTAGCCGCTTTACCGCAGCCCAGTGATCCTCTCTGAGATCCTCCATGAAGTGACTGACGTAACCCACGGCGAACGTAATGTCCGACCTCGTGTGGACTAGGTAGCGCAGACCACCGACGATGCTCCAATAGAGTGTTGCATCCACCTTCGCCGTGGTGCTGGCCTTCATCAGCTTCAGCCGCTCCTCCATCGGAGTCACGCATAGCTTGCACTCAGCCATGCCGCCCCTCTCCAACAGCTTGGAGGCATACGCGCTCTGACCGAGCATGAGTTCCTCCTTCCCCTGTCTCACCTCGATGCCGAGGTAGTAGGAGAGTGTGCCGAGATCGCTCATTCGAAAACGAGCCGCCATCTCGCGCTTGAAGTCGTTGATGTCCTCCGTGCACGCGCCGATGATGATCAAGTTATCCACATACACGCCGACGATGAGCTCCTCCTTCCCCCGTCGCCGCATGCAGAGCGTGTGCTCGGTTGCGCACCTTTGAAACCCAAGCTCGCCCAGCGTGGTGTCAAGCTTGGCGTTCCATACTCGAGGGGCCTGCCATAGCCCGTAGAGCGCCTTGCGCAGTCGGAGCACCCTATGCTCCTCTCCCTTGACGGCGAAACCTGGAGGTTGCCTAACGAAGACCGTTTCTGCCAGTTCGTCGTTGAGGAAGGCTGATTTAACGTCTAGGTGATGGACGCGCCAGTCCTTTACTGCTGCCAAAGCTAGTAGCAAACGAACCAACTCCATGCACGCTACTAGCGCAAAGACATCCTCGAAGTCTATGCCCTCGTGCTGAACAAAGCCTTGGGTGACGAGACGCACCTTGTGCTTGACAATGGCGCCGAGCTTGTCCCGCTTGACCTTGTACACCCACTTTAGGCTGATCGGACGGCATCCTGGAGGTGGATCGACGAGCTGCCAAGTCTCGTTTTCCTCGATCGCCTTCATCTCCTCCAGCATCGCCCGTCACCAGTTTCCATCACGCTCGGCTAGCGCGAACGTGGGTGCTTCCTCAGCACTGACAAGCATTAGCTCTGCGTCATTGAGCAGCCGACCAGCCAGTCTTGAGGGTCCTGTGCCATCGACGATGTTGTCCAGCCTGTGGAACCGCACCTCCTCACCTTCGTGGAAGACATCCATGAACTCAGTGATGTCACTTAGAGGTGAGGCGAACTCGATCATCGTCGATGGAGTTCCCTGTTCCGTCGGAGTGTTCGGCACAGCACCTGGAATGCTCGGCACCCTGGATGTAGTGCTCAGCACTACTTCTGGACAGCTCGTCATAACTCCTATAGTGTTTGGCCACACTGTAGGAGTGCCCAGCCTCAGTCTTGGAGTGGTCGGCACCACTGCAAGACGTCTTGGCTCCGCCACGGGAGTGCTCGACACCTGTCCTAGAGTGGTCGCCACCACTGCAGAACCTCCCAGCACTACTCCTGGCGTGCCAGACATCCCTCCAGGAGTGCTCGGCACTCTTCCCTGAGTGCTCGGCATCCCTCCCAAAGTGCTCGGCACTGCCCTAGGAGTGCTCGGCTCTACCGCCGGAGTGCTCGGCACTCCTCCCGGAGTGCTCGGCACCTCTTCCCCAACGTCTCCACCACCGTGGATGACCAAGTGCTCAACGACGAAGGTGTCGGTGAAGCCACCAGCTTTCCCCATGCTCGGACTGCTCCAGTCCCAAGCCGCCTTCTCATCGAACACAACGTCGCGCGAGACAAGCACCTTGTCTCCACGTGGGTCGTAGAGCCGGTACGCCTTGGTACCCTCCGCATAGCCTAGGAACACCATGGGTGTGCTCCTATCCTCTGGCTTGGTGAGGTTCGGCTTCGTCTTCCTGACGTGGCCGATGCAGCCAAATGTCCGGAGGAAGGACACGCTCGGCTTGCGCCCATACCAAGCTTCGAACGGCGTCTTGCCCGTCAGGGCCTTGGTCGGAGCGCGGTTGAGGATGAACACCGCCGTGGTCACCGCCTCCCCCCAGAACCTTGCCAACATGCCTTTGGCCTTCATCATGGATCAGGCCATGCCAACCACCGAAGTGAATTTGCCACCACGATCAGTCCTCAGCACACAGAGCTTCTTGCCGCTCTCGGCCTCCGCGTGCATCTTGAACTTCTTGATCACCGCCGCCGCTTCGTCCTTGCTCGTCAGGAGTTGCAGCCACATGTAGCGACTACAATCATCCATGAGCAGGAGGAAGTACCACCGACCACCGTTTGTAGCAGGCATGATCGGCCCGTAGAGGTCGCCGTGGACGAGCTTGAGAGTGTCCTTCACGCGATACTTGGCTGCCTTTGGGAATGGTAGCCTCCTCTACTTCCCGGCCAGGCAGCTGTCACACAGCTCGCCTCCGTGCTTGATGTGGGGTAGCCCTCAGACCATCTTCTCCAGTCGACCATGCGCGTCGAAGCTAAGATGTCCGAATCGGGCATGCCACATCCACGGTTCCTCAGAGTGCCTTACCGCCAGGCACACCGGCTGCTCTACCTTTAGGTCGAGCAGGTACAACTAGTTCAGGAACCTCTTCACCTTGGCGAGAAGTCACTGCTCCCAGTCCCTGATCCTAAGGACTCCGTCCTTGATCAGTACCTCGCTACCGCGCTCATCCAACTGACCAATGCTGATGATGCTGGAACGCAGCTGCGGGATGTAATATACATCCGTTAGCGCACGGTGCTCCCCGTTCTGGCACCTAAAGATGATAGTGCCACGCCCTTGGATAGCCACCCTTGAGCCGTCACCAAACTTCACCGTACCGGTAACATCGTCGTCGAGCTCGAAGAAGGATGTTTTGGAGCCCGTCATGTGGTTGCTGGCACCAGAGTCTAGATACCACCGCTACTCTTGGTCGGCGCCCACACATCAGAGGTGGACTTGGGCGCGTGGTTCATCGAGGTTGATAGTCTTTAGGGCCTTCCTAGGTCCTTCCACCGTCGTTGCCTCTTCCTTCTCCTCGGCATCGACGTCGTGCAGTGCACAGAACGTCGCCATTAGGATAGTGGCCTCATCCTCATCATCGGCTTACGCCAGGTGAGCCTGAGCCTTCTTTTCCTGCTTGCGGTTTGGGCACTCCCGTGCCCAATGGCCCATCTTCCTACAGCGCCGGTAGGCGTTGGGGTCAACCTGCTTCTTCTCCGAAGAAGCCTTGTCGCGGCGCTTGCCATCGCCACCGCGCCTGGAGGAGGCTGCCTTCCCGGAGTTCCTCCGAGCAGCCCACTCCTCTTTCGTCAGCAGGAGTTTCCCACTGTCCTTCGTTGTTGTCGCCTGCTCCAGGCGCTCATCCACCACCCGCAGACGGCATGTCATATCCTCAATGGTGAAGGTGGACAAGTCCAGCATCGTCTCTATGGAGAGAGCGATCTAGATGTACTTTTCCAGCATGGAGTGGAGGTACTTGGAGACCGCCTCCTCTTCGTCGATGGTGACGCCGTGGCTCTTTAGCTTGCTGATGAGCGTCTGCAGGCAGAGGGAGAAATCCTCCACCGTTTCACCATTCTTGAACTTGAGGTTGGCGTACTCATGCTTCAGAAGCTGGGCCATCGCCTTCTTTGCGCGGTCGGAACCGACGCGCATCGCCGCAATAGCCTCCCACGCCTCCTTAGTAGAGCTCTTCGCCCCCAATGGCTCCCTGTACTCCGCCGGTACAGCAGCGAGGATAGCCTCCAACGCTGACATGTCATCTTCTTCATTGTCGGTGCTCTTGTCAACAGCATTCCAGAGCCGTCGGGCTCTGAGCTTGACCTTCATGGTCACTGACCACTCTCCATAGTTGGTGCGAGTCAGCGTCGGCCAACTGGTGCCGCTGACCTCCCGCACCGTGTGAACAACGACCTTCGGTCGTGGCTGGGCAGCCATAGTAGTGCCACTGCTGTCGCCCATCTCCGAACCGCCCGTCATCACCAGCGGTTAGTCTGACGATGACGCT